TGGAAGGGAGAAGGAGAGATCTATTCTTCTTGGAGAAGAGGCTAGAAGTGCAGTTTAGTGCCTAGCATGTATGAAGCCTTTTTTTTTTTTTTTTTGCGGAACTGGGGATTGAACTCAGGCCCTTGCACTTGCCAGGCAAGTGCTTATTCCACTGAGCCGTCTCCCCGGCCCCACCCCCCCCCGTTTGTGTGTTTTTGCAGTTCAGTGGTTTAGCTAGACCCTATCTCAAAAGACAGAAAACAATAAAAGCAACACCAATATCACTCACCAAGAAGGGTCCTATGTTTCATCCCCTATACTACAAATATACATAAATAAAAAATAAAGTTAAATGAAAACTTTTTTTTTTTTTTTTTTTGTGGTAGTATTGGGTTGGAGGCCAGAGGCATTTACCACTTATCTCCATCCCCAGCCCTTTTTATCTTTTATTTTGAGTCAGTCTCACTATGCTGCCCAAGCTGACCTTGAACTTTTAATCTTGCTTTAGCTTGCTGGGTAGCACATTGGTACATTTCTTGCCTCATTGGTAAATTGCTTCTTGGTTCAGTCCCTGGTACAAAAGACAATTCTTGGGCTGTATTCCAAAACAGTCAATCAGAAACTCTGGGGGTGGGGCCTAGAAATCTATGGTTTATACACCTTCCAGGTGATTTTGATGAGAACTAAATTTTGAGAACCCTTGCCCTAGAGAATCAGAATTGGGTAAGAGCCTAAGGAATCTAAATCTGTAAGAAGCTTTCCTAAGGCATAATGTAGGAAAGAAACTGACATGGTAGCTTGAAAAGTACTTTTAAAAGTGTAAAAGTAAATTTCCAGATGGTGAAATATTATTTTCTTTAGAAGGAAACAGGCCATACAATAATAGCAAAGGTCAGTAATTACTGAGTTCTTTTTAAAATTTTATTTTATATATTTATTTGTATTTGGTACAGGGTCTCACTACACAGCTTGGATTCATTGTGATCCTCCTGTTTTCAGCCTTCCAGCATGGGGATTACAGGTGTACACCACCACACCCCAGACTCAGTGGCCAGGGGCATGGCCCGATGTGGCATGTGGTGCTGGGGATTGAACCCCTGTCCCTGGGCTTGCCTAAGCAATCACTTAGTCCACTGAGTTATCTCACCAGTTCTTTAAATTTTATTTTATTTAATGAATTTATTTATTTATTTATTTATTTATTTTTAACTTTATTTATTTACGTGTGTGTGTGTGTGTGTGTGGCCAGCTCGGCCCACCAGGGGGCGGGGCTGGCTGGCATGTGGTGCTAGGGGATTGAACCGTGGTCCCTGTGCTTTGCTAAGCTTGTTCTAAGTAGGTGCTTAGACCACTGAGCCACCTCACCAGCCCAATGAATTTATTTTTAATTAATCAATTAATTATTTATTTTTTGGGCAGAACCAGGGATTAAACTCAGGCCCTTGTGCTTGCCAGGGAAGCACTTATTCTACTGAGCCATCTCCCCGGCTATTTTATTTTATTTATTTATTTATTTTTTGGTGGCCTCAGATTGCCTCCATCCCTGGTCTGCATTGGCTTGAGTATCTAGGTATCGAATCACAGCTCCCTGAGGCTGTTTTGTTTAAGAAGTCACTTAAACAACTGAGCTAATGGGCAGGCCCCCTTAAATTTTATTTTATCTTTTTTTTTTTTTTTGGCTGAACTGGGGATCGAACTCAGGCCCTTGCGCTTGCCAGGGAAGTGCTTAGTCTACTGAGCCATCTCACCGGCCCCCTAAATTTTATTTTAAAGAAAAAAAATTTCAAAATGAGATAATAGGAGAGGGGCTGGTGAGATGGCTCAGTGGTCTAAAGCACCTACTTAGAACAAGCTTAGCAAAGCACAGGAACCGTGGTTCAATCCCCCAGCACCACATCCCAGCCAGCCCCACCCCCTGGTGGGCTGAGCTGGCCACACACACACACACACACACACACACACACACATAAATAAAATTTTTAAAAAAAGATAATAGGAGAGTAGCAATGGTTAATACATTGTGTATTATATTTATTTATTTATTTTATCTTTAAATTAGTTACTCAGAATACAAGATATAAGCATTTACTTATCCAAACAATATTAGCACAAACCTTTCTTTTCAATGAATAAGAGAAATTAGTAGTATAACTATTGGGGCTGGGAACTTAGCTCAGTGGTGCACCTGCCTGGCATAAAGTCCTGAGCTTGATTCTCTATTACCTCTTCCTCTCCCCCCAAAAAGTAGTGTAACTATTGTGGTGGATTGCCAAGGGGTAGGCAACTTGTACCATCCAGCTGAATGGAATGAGCATGGTGCTAGGTGTGGAAGCCCACCTGAAGATTGCTGTCAGCAGAGCAAGAGGCAGCACTGGATAGGAAGATGTTTAGAAGCTGTTGGGAGCTGTTTGTTTAGCTGGTGCTGCTGTTGGTTCTCTGGAGGACTTGCCACTCTGGCTTTTCCAATGAACTCAGCTGTTTTCATCATTGAAGGAGCTCAGGACCTTGGTGTCGCTGAGAATGGCTACAGTTCATTTTGGGGAGCTCTGGTTCTTGCTTTGAGCATCACTTCTTGGCTCCAGAGGGGAAGATGGTACACAGCTCAGCCTCATTGTGTTGACTTTCCTGATGAGAATTCAGCTGTCTTCTTGTCAGAGGAGCTCAGGACCTCACTGTTACTGAGGATGGCTGTGGAGCTCTGATTCTTACCTTGAGCATTACTTCCTGGCTCCAGTTCAGATTCCTCAGCCTGCTAGCCAAGATCCTTTGTCCCACTGGCATAGACTTTCTAGCTTCCACTACTGACTTTTGGGCCTTTCCAGTGCAGATCTGTGAAATAGGCCTACATGAGACATTGTTGTGGGCTGTCGGCCTCCAGTTGGACTGATGGGAGGCATTTTTATGGGTCCTAGGTCTTCAGCTGGACTCATGCAGGGCGTTACTGTGGGATCCAGGCCCTCAGATAGATTCTTTGATCTTTAGTGTGTGGACAGATCTCCTGCAGTTTTCTTTTTTCATGGAACCAGGGATTGAACTCAGGCCCTTGCGCTTGCCAGGAAGCGTTTATTCCACTGAGCCATCTCCCCGGCACCCCTAGTTTCTTTTTTGTTTTGAAGTTTCTTTCCATTTTGCAACATCTACTGTACATTTTTTTTCCGGGGGTGGGGGAGCAGGCAAGTTCTCACTATGTAGTTCAAGTTGGCCTTGAATTCACTGTGTAGCCAAGGCTGGCCTCCAGCTCTCCAAGATTCTCCAGCTTCAGGCCCCCCAAGTGTTGGAATTACAGGCACGCGCCACCACGCCCGGTTTAAGCGTGCATTCTTAAGGACTATAGTCCAATAGTTCTCCAATTATGATTCCTGCTGACTGTAGCATCACAGACAAATTCAATTAAGGGATCGCCATCCAACATCTACTGAATTAGAAATTGGGGGTGGGGCTCAGCAGTTCAAGTTTTCAAAAGCCCTTCAGGTGCCTGTGGCTCACTCTGCAGTTTGGGAACCACGGCAAGGCCCTAAAAGCTTTGGTGGACCGCGAGTTAAAAACAAAAAGAAGCCTGCAGGTGTTGCGGGCATCTCGCTGTCCTTCTCACCTGGAGATGAGCGAAACTCGGACTCGGCCGGCGGGCGCGCAAGGCCTGCTGGGGCTCGTAGTCGGAGCCGCTGCCCAGCCGAGACGCGCCTGCGTGTTGGCCGCTTACTTGCTCTAGTCTCTGTGGTCGGTGCTCGGGACCGGCTGCCATCTTAGTCGAGGAACTGAGGAGTCGCCGCCGCCCCGAGTCCCGGTAAACACCCGCGGGCGGATTGAGGGCAGTTCAGGGGAAGGGAGGGAGCTTGGATCAGAGTGGCCGGGGAGGGCGAGGGGTAGAGGAATGCGGCTCGCTAGTCGGGACCTCAGAGCCGTGGCTGCTCTCTCCCAGCCGGTGCCGTGGAGGGCGCGGGGACCTCGGGGGTAGTGGCCGGGGTGCGGGGGTGGGGGCGGGTCACCAGGACGCACCGAGCGGGCCGTACCCCTTTGAGGCGCGCATCGCCCCTCGCCCCGCGCACTCTTGAGTTGTGGTGCGGCCGAGCCCTGGCGGGCGTGGGCAGGATCCGGCCCCGCGCCCCCAGCCGCGCTCGGGACCGCTGTCCGCTGTCCGGCCTGCGCGCCGAGTGCGGCGGCTGCGGCCCGCCCCGCGACGTGGCCTTGCTTGTGCGGGGTGGCGGCTGGGCCCACCTGCCACCGGGCTGTCCTTCCAGAGACTTCTCCACGCCCGCGCTTGCGAGGCCCAGCGCGGCGAGTCTCCTCTCCTCGTGTCCACTCCCCGCGCTGCCCATTGTCCCCCGCGTGGTGGGCACGGCCGGCCCCTCGGCGCGACCGCGCACTGGGCCGGCGCTGGCCTGTGCGGACGTGGAGCTGTCACTGCCCATCCTCCCGGGAGTGTCTATTTCTTTAGCAGAGAAAAGCTAAAAGTAGCCGTGAACTATTGGAAGTGCCCAAACAAGATGAGGGCATGACTTATAAATGGAGAACTCAAGTTTTCAGACTTGGTTCCGGACTTCGACCTGAGAGAGAAGGAAGCGGGTTCGTGCACCGAGGTAGACAGATGCTGGGCCTAAAGTTAGTTGGAAATGGCTAGGTGAACTTGCACAGTACCCTTAATTCACAGTTAGCTCCGGTAACTCTTGTGGTTTTCTTGGCTACGTTTGTACCCTAAGCTGGTTATGTTTTTCACCAGTGTTAACAGCTACAGTAAACTTGTTTTGAAGTGGGGAACTGGGTTAGAAGAGATTTTTCTTTGAAAATTAGAGAGCACAAAACAGCCATGTTATCATTGTATTTACGAAGTTTTTCCTGAACCTGTTATTTATTTAGTAACGGGTTCAAACTCAGGACCTTACACCAGGCAGTTCCTGAACCTATTTCTAACAAAATTGAGTCTTAGGGAAGTATGTAAAGACATTGTTTTCATTCTCAAAATTGGTAAAGGACTTGATTCCAATCCGAAATAAAGATCTCATAGCAAATCTGGTGAGAACCTGTACTGTGTAGTCACAGTTTACTGTAGGTGTGATTCTTTTATCTCTCAGATTTAGAAATGAAGGTAGAAATTCTCTTTTTAAACAGTGAGTACATTTTTGGGAGTGTAAGTCCAAAAGGGAATAATCTGTTTTCATCATAAGTGAATGAGATGTGTTATAAAATAAAAAATCACTACAGAGTACTTTTTTATTATATTCTGTGAATTTCTACCTTTTTTTTTTTTTTGGAGGGGGAGTGGTTTATCTTGCTGTGCAACACAGGTCTGCTTTTAACTCTGGTTCCTCCTACCAGAGGATCTGAGTGCTGGGATTACAGACATGCACTATGTGCTCAGCTTTATCGTTATATTTACTGGGAGACTGACAATCTTGTGATACACAACTTTGACCATTAGGCTAGTAAAGAAAACTTTTTTTTTTTTAAAGTAGAAGTTGCAGGGTCTCATTTCTGGGATTGAGTAGTCAACCTAAGCTGACTGCTACCAATTTATTTTTAGAACATGCCTCAAATAATTCTTTTTTTTTTTGTGGTACCAGGGATTGAACTCAGGACCTTATGCTTTCCAGGCAAGTGCTTATTCTGAGGTGTCTCCCCAGTCCCATGCTTCAAATAATTCTGATGGTCTTGGGAACCACTGAGGCAAAAACAGTAAATATACAAAGCACATTTCAAAAAGCTTTGAGACAGAAAAGAGGAAGTGGCCAGTTCTCTTTGTGGGTGGTCCAGAGGAGGAGGCAGGACTTGCCAGTGGACAGGAAGTTTGATTTTAGATGATCAGTTGGAATGTGACACAGGTGGGGAAAGGGAAGGACAGGGTAGGCAAAGAAACACTTTTTTTAAAAAATTTTTTATATTTATTTATTTAGTGTGTGTGTGTGTGTGTGTGTGGCCAGCTCAGCCCACCAGGGGGCGGGGCTGGCTGGCATGTGGTGCTGGGGGATTGAACCACGGTCCCTGTGCTTTGCTAAGCTTAGCTTGTTCTAAGTAGGTGCTTTAGACCACTGAGCCATCTCACCAGCCCCAAATGGAATAAGGCTTTTTTTTTTTTTTTTCCCCGAATGCCTTCAGGGCACTTTTGGCCAGCTGGAGAGGTGTGAGGTTCGAACTCCAGCAACCTGAGGCTGACAGCTTTGTGGAAGCAGCCACTTAAAGACCTGAGCTAGGGCCAGGCCCCCCCCCAAAGAAACACTTTTAATACCTCTGCTATGTGTAAAGTTAGAGGACTGTGGGAGGAAAGGAATTCAGGGAATAAAGTGGAGAAGATCATTGTGGGACAGACATGAGAAAGGTAAAAGCAACTATGAAGAATTCTTAAGTATAATGCTAAAATTTTTAAATTTTATGTTGATAACACATATGATGTGAATACATAGGTGTTTTAGAAAGATGGCTCTGGTAAGATGAACAGAAGGGCAGAAAAAGTGGCTGTTGCAGAATTCTAGGTGAGAAGTAACAAAGCCTGCCTGACCTTGAATGTGGGATGATCAAAGGTTTTGAAGCCATCAGGCTTGATACTCCCAGTTTAGTCCCTAATACTGGGGTGGGGGAAAGCACATTATAGAAAATAATCCATGGGGCTGGTGAGATAGCTCAGTGGTCTAAAGCACCTACTTAGAACAAGCTTAGCAAAGCACAGGGACCACGGTTCAATCCCCCAGCACCACATG